CCGCTCCCCCCCCCAGTGGAGGGGATAGTATAGTGAACGTAATAGAAGAAAAGGGAGGAACAGAGGGGAAGAGCAAACACTTGCAGCACTCCCAGTTCACTTCTAAGGCAAATTCGCCTATTGGCGAATTTAATTTATTGATTTATTAAAAGCAGACATCCCTAATTTGTTGCTCTCCATCTGGCTTGGGATGAAACTGAATTTTTATAAGGAAATTCTTATAAAAATAGTGTAAATTGAACATGGCTGTTTTTGCATATAAGCATATATGCTTTAGCACTGAACCAGAGTTCTCATGTTTCAAATTCATTAGTACGCTGAGTCTACCCATGTTTATTCAGAAGTAAGCTCCAGAGTATTCAGCAGGACTCGTTCCCTTGTGAAATGCACAGTACTGAAGCTTGTGAGAATAAAACCCATTAACTACAATGGGAGTAATTATTACCATTATTAATTATCATCATCATTTTTTGATCAAAGACCAAAACCCCCAAGATACAATAAACTCAAATAAAAGCAAATAAAAGGCAATACAAATAAAACACATCAAACAATACATAACTCTAGTGTTTCTTTCCCCCTGCTCTTTAACATTTACATCAGTGTTTTTCAAACTTGGGAACTTTAAGGTGTGTGGACTGGGGAACTTTAAGATGCTGGCTGAGGAATTCTGGGAGTTGAAGTTCACGCATCTTAAAGTGGCCAAGTTTAAAAGCCCCGATCTATATGAAGCCACTGGGAGAGGTCATCTGTCAGTTCAGGGTGAGGTGTTGTAAGTACTCTAATGAGACTTGGGTTTATTCTCCACCCTAGCCAAGATGAGAGGTAGTGAAATCTTGGTGTCTGGAGCCTGTGACAGACTGGATGAGAAGAGCAAGCAGACCTTGAATCTCAAAAAGATGGAGTTGCTGTTTGCCCATAAACCATCTTACTATTTACTTACTTACTTGGGCTTATGTGGTACTTCCATCCGAAAGGACTCTGAGTGACTTACATTCCCCTCTTTCAGAAAGAAGGTTGAAATAAAAAGAAAACCCCGGTATAATAAAATAAGCATTAGCAACTGAAATTGCAAACAGTTTCAGCACCCAAGGAACACTCAAACATCAAAAGACCAACTTTAAAAGAGTTATTGTAACTCTGGGCAGGGTAAAACTCCCACTTGAGGTTCTCCCAGACTCACAGCTTCTGCTGAATTGGTGGGGGGAGACCATGGCTAGAGCAGATTAGTTGGAGCATGTAGGCCTGGTGAGTTATCCATGCCCTCATCATCTGTAGGATTGACCACTGCAATGAGCTGTACGTGAGGCTGCCTTTAAAGACTGGAAAGCAGAGAGCACCACTAGTGCAAAACACAGCAGCCAGCCGGCTGGCAGATGACAGCCCCCGTAATCACATAACACTAGTTTTACAGGTGCTGTTTGGCTTCTCATAGGCCAAACAATTCAAAGTGCTTGTTTTGACCTGTAAAGCCTTTTATGGTTTTGTGCTCAGGTATTTCCTCTGTTTGGGTTCAGTTTTTTTAAAAAATGACTTTAAACAAATCATTCTTAAATTCCTTCCAGTTAAGTTCAGTTTGTTTTTTTTTAAATGGCCAGGAAAGAGAGAAGAACATGAATGCCAGAATTTTTTACTGCAGGACATCAAGCAGGTCATTAAGTTTGTTGGAAGTAGAGCATATTAACCTTTTTAAAAACTTCCCAAAACTTAATATGAATATAAAATGAGCTCTGCCAGATCAGACTAAAAACTGATGGGAAACCCTCAAGCAAGAGATTGGGATAATAGCATCGTCATGTATGTGGTCCTTCATACTGAAAGCAATATGTAACCATCATGATTAATCACCATTAGCAACTTTAATTTCCCTGAATTTGTCTAATATTCCTATAAAGCCATCCAGAGTTCTGCTGATTGTGGTTGGTACAAATTGAATAAATGAACAAATGAATGATTGAATGAATGAATAAATAAATAAATAAATAGTCATTGCTACATTTGAGTGTTGCTCTCTTTTTGTTTAGAGTAAATTCTACTGAAGTAACCAGGACTTTCTAATTAAATTAATTCTCATTG